TGGGGCAACTCCTTATATGTTGGTTTATGGTTCAGAAGCAGTAATACCTGCTGAGGTGGAAATACCATCTTTAAGGATTATCCAAGAGGTTGGTCTCGACGATGCAGAATGGATACGTAGCAGGCATGAGCAGTTGATGCTCATCGATGAAAAGAGGATGGACGCGATTTGTCACAAGTAAGTCAAACCTTGACAGTTCGCACCGGGGCAGTTCGTATTGAAGAAGATCTTTCCTCACCAAGGAGAAGCCAAAGGGAAATTTGCGCCAAAGGCAGAGTGAGCACAAAGCCAATCAATTCAGACGCCATCAAGAAATACTACATCTGAAGACCTCAAGATTAGCGTTTATTTTGTGTACTTTTGCATTTTTCAATGTAACAGAACTACGTCTAGACCTGACTTACCACGGTGGGGTACGTAGGCAACCCACATCGGATATGGTCTCCCTTAGGAAACCCAAAATCATCATTTCTATGTAGTTAGAACTACGCTCGACCTGAATTCCCTCGGTGGGATACGTAGGCAATCCTTGTCGGATTCGGTCCCTTGCATTTTTCACTTTCCTGTTGTATTTGAACTACGTCCTGACCTGATTCCGCTTCGATACGTAGGCAGCCTGAGTCAGGCCCGGTCATTGCGTTTCATATTTTTCACCTTCCTCTTGTATTCGAACTACGTTACGACCTGATTCCACTTGGATACGTAGGCAGCTTGAGTCAAGCTCGGTCATTGCATTACATACTTCTATTTCTCCCACTTGTATTCGAACTACGTTATGATCTGATTCCTATTTTCGGGATACGTAGGCAGCCTGAGTCAGGCTCGATCAATTCCCTGCATACCCTTAGGAAACATTCCTCATAGTTAGCGTAACCTCCGAATATTGAAGGATATCGATCGTCGCAGGGTCTGCAAAAAAAGCTAGGAAAGCTTTATCAGAAGGGTAAAAGCTGCAGGAGGCCTACGTTGGATATAGTCAACAAAACGGAAATCTCGATGGACTTTGGAACATGTCATAATCTAAAATGCTGGAGAATTACTATATATATATACCTAATATATACGTAGTATACTTATTTTCTAGAAAAACAAGCTAATTCTTTTCAAAATATTTTTTTTTTACTCATCCACCTGCCAAGTCTCAGGTTAAGAAACTATGTGCGGTACTGATGAAGTGTCGAAGGATTCTAGTGACGAGGCTTCAGTCCCCAAGTCTATGCAAACCAACATCCCCTCCCCAAACTAAAATTTTCTTTGAGTGCAGGAACACAGGAATCAAGAAAATAACATCAAGTCTCGGGGCATGACCGGAAACACCATACGATTTCTCA